GCCAGGTCGGCTCTGCAGGTGCCATCTACGGTGCCTCCGGCGAGTTCCGACATGCCGATGATGCCAGATGATTCGCAGAAGTGTGTCAACTCACTGCAGAACTCGTTGCAGAGCCGAAACATTCACATCCCTCAGCCGAATGCTTCGTGCGACGCCGTGTTGTGCTTCTGCGGCATCCGCCTCCACCAAATCACCTCTTTGAGCTGCCCCTCCGCGTTTAATATTACTGGGAATTACAGAAATGCTACTCCCACAGCTGCCGTTAGGAAATTGGAACAGAATTGCAAGAATTCTTCTTATGCTGGTTGTACTAGATGCCTGGTTGCTTTTCAAAAGGTCAGTCGACTCAGTCCCCCAAGTTTCAACTTCAATTTTATTATTTATTATTATTATTATTTTTTTTAAAGAAACTATTGAAAATGTCATTTTAATCCCAACAAAAATTCAATTCTAGTACAATGTCTGAATTGCCCTTGGTTATGATCACTTTTGCAGTTGACAGGGGGTGACAAAAATGTAACAAAACAACTAGACCGCGAAAACAACAACAGGGCTAGCATAATGTTGAGTAGGGATTGCCAATTGATGGGACTAACATGGCTGCTGGCACTTAACAAGACAGCGTACATACCAACCGTCTCGGCCGTGTTGCGAGCTACCATGTACAGTGCGAACCCTCCCCATGAGTCCAAGTGTAGTCCCGACCAGGAGAACATGCCCTTGGCCGTCGACTCGCTACAATTCGAGAAATACGATTCGGCATCATCAAGATTAGCTAGTACAAAATTTCCAATTACTAGGAGTTTGATTCCACTTTTGCCCTTAATCATTCTTGGATCTCTTTTTGTGTAGGGTGGTGGGTTTGGTTGGGTTTGTTTTGTTCTCACGTCACATGTTGACCCTTCCCTTTTTTTTTTTTTTGGGGGTATGTGATTCTGATATGTCCGGGCATCACGTGAAGATAGTGGACAAATGACAAACGGTGGTGGGTCTTTCTTACATTGTAAAATATCGGTATTCATTGAAATCAACAATTTTATTGATTAAGAATAATTTCTGGACATCGTTCGTAAATCAACGAATCTTGATTGTTAAATTCCCAAATATTCAAAATGGACAACTTCCTAGATTGAGCATGTTTGTCACATATATATTTGAAAATGTTACAAGTCGTATCAGATCTGAAATCACTTTATTGAAAGCGGAACAGTTATGATATCATTTTGTTGCAAAAAGCGGAAGATGATGTTGGATTAATCAAATACCAAGTTGTTGGAGAAAATAAGATATTATAGTCACAATATGAAGTAATTGATTATAAAATACAAAAATAATATAATTTTGCAGAGAGCTGAGATTTTATTATAATATGAAGAAAGAATAGAATGATTTTGTTTTTATAATTTGTCTAACTTATAATGAGGTTCAATAACCTGACTAAATTGTAGAGAATAACCAAATATATATATGGGGAACAATTCAAACCCTAAAAGTAGAGTTGTAGATAAAATAAAATGCACAAAAATTTCTTTATCTTGATTTATTTAAGTTAAACACAAATTT